TGCAGTGCACAGAGAAGGACCCTTCAGGTAAGCCAATGGTCTTTCTCTCCTTGATTAGTTTCCACCCATTGCTTCTTGTTCTGCCCTCAGGTGCCTTGGATAATAGTTTGACTCCCTCTTCTTTGTGGCAACCCCTGAGATATTGGAACACTGCTATCACGTCTCCCCTAGTCCTTCTTTCTATTAAACTAGACATACCCAGAAAACCTGAAGTAAACATCAGTTTTCTGCAAAAATGTCATAAATTACAGTCACGTGACTGCAGAACATTTGCAAATGGCCATAAGTGCTGGCCTCTTGCCATGTGCCCAAAGTGCCATCATATGATTGGGGGAATAGATGTCAGAACTAGGGAACAAGGTGGTATCTTTTGGGGGGAGGTCCATTGTAACTTTGAATTTTTGCTAAACAACTGGTCATAAGTTGAGGACTTCTTGTAGGCTATAATAAGAAAATATTGCAAGTCTAGCCATATCCCAAAGGTGCTTTTTTTCAAGAGGCAACTGGACTTTCTGGTTTTTCTGTTTCGCTTCTCATCCAAGAAGCTTCATCAGCTCTGAGAAGCTCCGAGAAGAGCTGAAGAAGTTTCTTGGATGAGAAGCAAAACATCTTCAAAGAGAAAACCAGAAAGTCCAGTTGCCTCCTGAAAAAATTTCACCTTTGGGTGACAACCATGACCTAGATGAGTGAGAATCTCCATAGATAGTGTGCCCATGTCTTCTCTTCCCTCCTTCTTATACAGATAGTCCTTGATTTAGAATCACAGTTCAGCCCAAAATTTCTGTTGCTAAGCAAGACCCTTGTGAATTTTGAAACCTTTCTTGCCAGAGTTGTTAAGTGAATCGCCGCAGTTGTTAATTTCGCAACATGGTTGTTAAGTGAATCTGACTTTCCCATCGACTTTTCTGGTCAGAAAGTCGCCAAAGTTGATCACATGACCTCGGGACACTGCAACCGCCATAAATATGAACCAGTTGCCAAGCATCCAAATTTGGATCAGGTTACCCTAGGAACAGTCGTGTGGAAAATGGTCATAAGTTACTTTTTTTTCAATGCTGTTGTAACTTTGAATCGTCACTAAACGAATGGTTGTAAGTTGAGGATTACCTGTACCGCAATGGGTTTTTATGAGTGTCTGGAATATTCTCCCACTTCTCTGGATTCCAATTTTTGGTTAAGTTGATTTCTCCCCCAAAAAGCTTCTAGATTATTTCTCCGAAGTCATCCCCTTTCCTCCCTACACACAGTTTGAGTAACCCAATATAAACTATGTATGTCTGAAGCAGCACACAAGCTGGCAAATAAATTAAACTTATCTCACACACATTTCTTCTTTGGGAAGGATTTGTTAACCAATAAAATGAGTCAGGTGTGGGTTTTATTGGGTGCATTCAAAGGCTCTGCAAACGTTTAGTTTTACGATTCATGGGCCTGAGCTGGAAACGATTTTAGAGTCGTTGTCTTCAGCAGTGAATTTTATGAAACAAGAGAATAAACTAAATGTAACTAAGTGTAAAATAAAAATAGCTACATAACTGTTCGAACAATTTACTGCTTCTTGGAGATTTATCTACACTATATTGCCAAAAGTATTCGCTCAACCATCCATATACTCAGACTCAGTTTTGAGCGAATACTTTTGGCAATATAGTGAATCTCACATGCATACATCCATCGCTATTAAAAAAAACCTTTAAAACTACACAAATTGCTCATTTGGGACACCGTGTGTGTGTGTGTGTGTGTGTGTGTGTGTGTNCTTCCTCCTCCTGCTCCTCCTCTTCCTCCTCCTGCTCCTACACTTCCTCCTCCTCCTCCTCCTCCTCCTCCTCTTCCTCCCCCTCCTCCCTTTCCTCCTCCTCCTCCCCTTCCTCCTCCTCTTCCTCCTTCTTCTCCTCCGGCTTCTTCTCCTCCTGTTCCTCCTCCTGCTCCTCCTCTTCCTCCTCCTCCTGTTCCTCCTTCTTCTCCTCCTGTTCCTCCTCCTCCTCCTCCTCCTCCTGTTCCTCTCCCTCCCGCTCCTCCTGTTCCTCCTCCTCCTGTTCCTCCTTCTCCTCCTGTTCCTCCTCCTCCTCCTGTTCCTCTCCCTCCCGCTCCTCCTCTTCCTCCTCCTCTTCCTCCTCCTCCTCCTCCTCCGTCTTCTTCTCCTTCCTCTTCTCCCCCTTCTTCCTTTTGCACAGTCTTTTTCTCCTCTCTGACTTCCCTCCAGGCTGAAGAGTTTTTTGACATGGTGGCCACAATCCAGGCCCGGAGGCTCAATGACCAGCGGGCAGATTTTGCAGAGGCTGAAGTTCCAAATGAAGAGAATCCTGGGATATCGGAGGACCAACTCTATGACACTATTCTAGCTCACCAGGTATGTTTATTCCCCCAACCTCTGGTCCTCCTGGCTGGAGGACTCTTTAAAAAAAAAAAAAATCTTTCCAGGGTCATCCTCCTCCCAAACACTCAAAATTGTAGAATTTAGGATTTAAGTTGTTGTAATGAGATGGTTTTACAGCTTCATTAAACCCTACTTTTATGGTTGCAATCCCCTTGTTGGTCTCTACTTTGGAATTATCATGGTGCAGAGGAAAAATAGGTACTGTCATATATGCAAAAATAATAAAATAAATGAATAGTAATTCCAGGGTGAAGGTTTATTTATTTAATCTATTTCTAAGGCTTCCCCCTCACCAGAAACTCTGGCCAGTATATGAAAAGATAAATCAACTGACTGTAACAATGCAAGACCTCCATGCTGGGAAGGAAAAGCGAAATCAATATAGAACAGTTAACAATGACAATTACATCACCCTTACACAACCACCTAGCTTATTCAGGATGGAAATGCCATTGTTTATTTAAACAAAATTTGTATGAGCAGGATCCATCAGGAGTAAGGTTTCTGGAGATTTGATGGAACTTCAAGTTTTGCAGAAAAACTAAGCATTTTTTGAGAAAAACAAAAAGCCAAAACAAGCCCAAATGCCCAAATGAAGAGTATCTACTCAGCATTTTAAAGCATTCCTTAGATTTTCATTTTATTGCAATTTGCTTTTTTTTTTTAACGTCAGGGATATGTTTCAGAGAGGTTAGTAATGCAAACTAGGAAAGAAAAATATTGTCCTCTTCAAGGACTCCAGTCATGATTGGAGGATTAAAAGAGGATTTCTTTTTCATAAAGATTCATTATTATTAATCCAAAAGTATCCGGTCACGCAGTCAGTCAGTTTTTAGGTATCAATCGTCTGATGTTTTTATTGCATGGCATAAGGCAGGGGTTTTCCAACTTTTTCAGGTCATAGAAACTGTTAGTTTTTCGGGTTTTTTTTAAAGCAGAACCAAGAGGCAAAGCCAACTATATAGAACTGTGATGGCAAACCTATGGCACATGTGCAATAGGGGGCGCACGGAGCCTTCTCTGAAGGCACATGAGCCGTCACCCAGCTCAGCTCCACCGTGCATGCCCGCGCAACTCCTGCCCGCCAGCTGATTTTCAGGTCTCTGCAGTGCATGTGGGAGACGCAAATGCATGCTTGTGTGTGGGTCATATGCATGGGGGGAGGCACCATTTTTGGTCCCAGGAGGCTTCAAGGAGGCCTGGGAGGCCCAAAATGGGGCACGCGGTGAGGCGGGGTGTTGTACGCGCATTGCATTATGGGTGTGGGCACGTGCGTGCAAGCTGTTGCGCATGCACGAACTCTTTTGGCACACAAGGACCAAAAGTTTAGTCATCACTGCTATAGAACAACTAGAATGATTCTTTCTTGAGATACAAGCAGTCTTCAACTTGCAACCATAATGGACCCTTCCCATTCCTTCCCATAACTCATGGTGGACATAAAGTGCATCACCCACAGGACCAACCGAATTTTCCAACCTTTTTTTGTGGTGGCCGTTCAGCGAGCCCACTGTTTTTGCTGAAAATACAATACAATACAATACAATACAATACAATACAATACAATACAATACAATACAATACAATACAATAGCAGAGTTGGAAGGGACCTTGGAGGNAACTCCTCCATAAATAAGGTTGACTGGGTGCTGAGCGTTGCACTTGATGAACCTCTTTTCTTTTGCAGAAACAAGCTTCTAGCCCCTAAGACCTCACAAAGTTTTTGAATACATACATACATACATACATACATACATACATACATACATACATACATACATACACACACACACACAGACACACACACACAGACACACACACACACACAATTGTTTGTTAGGTTTCTAGCCTGCTTCTCCTCCGGGGAGCATTTGATTCTCAGAAGGAAGTGAAGTGCAGTCTTGGGCATAAAAAATGAGATAGGAATCAATACAGTACAATACAACAGCAGAGTTGGAAGGAATCTTGGAGGTCTTCTAGTCCAACCTCCTGCCGAGGCAGGAAACGCTATACCGTTTCAGACAAATGGCTATCCAACATCTTCTTAAAGACTTCCAGTGTTGGCACATTCACAACTTCTGGAGGCAACTTCTGTTCCACTGATCAATTGTTCTAACTATCAGGAAATTTCTCCTCAGTTCTAAGTTGCTTCTCTCCTTGATTAGTTTCCACCCATTGCTTCTTGTCCTGGCATCAGGTCCCCTGGAGAATAGTTTGACTCCCTCTTCTTTGTGGCAACCCCTGAGATATTGGAAGACTGCTATCATGTCTCCCGTAGTCCTTCTTTTCATTAAACTGGACATACCCAGTTGCTGCAACCGTTCTTCATGTTTTAGCCTCCAGTCCCCTAATCATCTTTGTTGCTCTTCTCTGCACTCTTTCTAGTCTCTGCATCTTTTCCACATCATGGCGACCAAAATTGAATGCAGTATTCCAAGTGTGGCCTTACCACAGCATTATAAAATGGTATTAACACTTCACATGATCTTTATTCTATCCCTCTCTTTATGCAGCTTAGAACTGTGTTGGCTTTTTTGGCAACTGCTG